TACATATATAAATATATGTATATATCGCAACGATGTATTATGTATAGGAACTGAACTTTTACTCTCCCAAGACTGTCACACAGTAGAATTATCAATACTAACACTAAGAACTAATTTCCAATTCTAATCTTCTAAAAAAATCGCCATGACGATAGCTATCTCGTTCGGATGTCTACTATATACTAAACGTGGTACAAGTTTTGCCCTCAAGAATGACTAACCCCACACCCACCGCAATATATATCTCTTATAGATGGGCGATAACACAGCAGTACTTCAAGGCATTCGTCGTGTAGAGGGCATCAGCTATCCCGTGCTGACGCCCAATATGAAAGGCTTCGAGGCTGCGGCCGAGGCTGGTGCAGAGGAGGTGGCGGTGTTTGGGTCAGCGACGGAGGAATTCAGTCAGAAGAACATAGCGTGTTCTGTCGAGGAAAGTCTGGAGCGCTTTGAGAAGGTATGTGTGTTTATAGATGTTATGTTTTTATATCGGCACGTGCGTGTTTCTCGGATGGTCTATGTGTGTGTGTGTGTGTGTGTGTGTTTTATAGACACATAGCTGTAGTTGGGTGAGCTTCCAGAGAGTAGTTACTAAGAACTACACATTATGTGTCAAGTAGTCGTTGACGCTTAGAGAAGGAAGTGTTGTGAGAATATAAGCTTCTTATTTTCATTTGCATTAGAGTGAAGCAGTTGTCAGTGACGGCGTACACACACATAATTCTGAACCTTGTGTATGATACCAGCGTGTATACATGTGTGGCTGGCTTGCTTTTGTTCTATGTGAGGTTGTGTTTATCTCCCATACGCCCCCATTCAGGTCCACACACCCGCACTTTGTCCACTTCTCCTACGCACCGGCCCATCTTCTCACCGCCCACCCTGCCTTTATACTGTCAAACCATTCGACCACTAGTGTGTATCATTCCATCCGTTTCATACCTTGTCCCAAATGCCTTCATTCTCAGATCATGGACGCGGCGAAGGTCTTGGACATTCGCGTGCGTGGTTATGTGTCTTGTGTCATGGGCTGTCCGTACTCGGGATATGTCAGTCCCGAGAAAGTCGCCGCGGTGGCCAAGAAACTGCGGGATATGGGTATGGTACTGAGGAGTGTTTGAGCACGAGTACGTGCACTGTAGTAGGAATGCTAGTACGTTTACAGGAAGCTACGGAGATTATTCGGTGGATCCGCCTACCACTTTTCACACTACGTGCATTTCGGTGGATAGGATGTCGGATCATGTCGTGTTGCTGAGCGGTGTATAATGGAGACTGTGCCCTGCAGATAGGGTGGTTACTTTGTTCGTAGCGAAACTGTGAGGACCCGTACAGAGTTCGCTTGAATCGTGCCTGCTGCTATTAGTGGGAGAGCCGTACGCGATGCTCGCTGCCATGTGTCGATGTGTAGTATGTTATTCACCATGAGCTGCAACGCAAGTGCTCTGTATGGCACCCACACTCGCGTGTTTATATTTATATATATATATAAATATATAATTTATATATATATATATGTTTAACACGGAATGGTACAACGTCCAGTTTGTGAACTCCGGACACTGTAAACTTCAGCTACTTAGGTACTTCACAGGATGTATGCACAAAATGGTTGGTCACGAACGAGGCATGGACCCTCTTGAGTTTTTTGTATTGTTGTATACATATACTGCGTATGTTAATAAGTACTCATTTTCACATACATTGATTCTCAACAGTTCCGCCGGGGTTAGTTTGTATGTCAAGAAGTTCTGCTTTACACCCGCAAACGCACTGCAATTCTGCAACTGTCAATATACACAGACTTACACCTACACACACGCTATATACTGCTTTACACCTACAAACACACCATATACTGATTCACATCTACAAACACTCTGCAACCACACACGCACACACACACACACACACACACAGGGTGCTATGAAGTGTCTCTGGGCGATACCATCGGCACAGGCACGCCCGGGCTCATGCGAGAGGTCATCGACCACACCAGCGCAGTGATTCCGATGAGTGAGATCGCAGTACACTGCCACGACACGTACGGACAGGCGCTGGCGAATATTTTAACGGCCGTGGATGTATGTGATGTGTACAGGAATGGGGATGGGCATGCGGGGTATTGTGTATGTTTGTATACGTGTGTTTGTATAGTTGTTACGCATGTTGTTGTGTGTATTCGGTGTATGCGTGTGATTGTGTATGTTTGAGTACGTGTGTTTGTATAGTTATTACGCATGTTGTTGTGTATATTCGGTGTATGCGTGTTATTGTACATGTTTGTGTATGCGTGTTTGTATAGTTATTACGCATGTTGTTGTCTTTATTCGGTGTATGCGTGTTATTGTATATGTTTGTGTATGCGCGTATGCGCAGGGGGATGTACATAAAGATGTTTGTTTGTACTTCAATATCTGCTTTCAATATTCATACCTCTGTGTGGTCTTTCACGATACAACTCACATTAACAACACCTCCAGGTTTGTCATCACTGTACACATGTGTGCGCACATGTCTCTGAGCATACCTTGACTACTTTTACTTGGGGGACCCAATCTATCATATTACCCTAAAACCCTGAACCCTAGAATCTCTGTTAGACTATGTTTGGTCAAATCTTGCACTGCATGTACCCATCCATTCACTTATACATTCGAGTGCACTCATACATTTCAAGGGACGTTCTCGGTATGCGTTGCCTCTAAGCAGCTCCTACACCCATGCCATAAGCCTCGTGTGTAGCACAACTTGTGCATATCTATTGGACCGTCCATGTAACAACAGCTGGGAATACCCATGTCCATATACTGACAGCCTTTCTCTCCCTTTCTTACTCGTATCGTAGATGGGCGTTCGGGTAGTTGATGCGTCAGTCGGGGGCCTGGGGGGATGTCCCTATGCCAAAGGTGCCTCGGGCAATGTGGCGACCGAAGAAGTGGTCTATATGCTCCACGGCATGGGGTTGGAAACAGGTATGGCTCACGCTCACTTTCATTGCCTAAAACCCTAAACCCTACACCTGGAACCCTATCACTGATCAGGTGCGATCCACGCTCACATATATTGGTATCACTAATCTCATGTGGTGTTTGAGATGTGAGGTTCTTGTGCCGTGCGATGTGGGATAGGAACGGTGATGACGTAGGACATAGCCACCTGCCAGTAAAATAGTTAGTGTGTATGAGAATATCATGGACAACACCCATTGCACTCTCATTCCATAGAGCACGTGCAAAGGCTAGTATATACAGAAGTAACTCCTGCTAAGGTTATTATATGCATGCAAGCGTAACAAGTGTAATAATCCCTGCTAACCTCAGTTGTTCTGTTCCATACACGAGTATTTACACACAAAGTGCAAGCAATAGCCTGATAGTCTGTCACTGTATCTAAATCTCGCACGTACACGTACACAGGTGTGGATATGAACAAGCTCCTGGAGGCTGGCCAGTATGTGATGGGAGCCTTGGATCGACCTTCGACATCTCGCGTTGCGCGTGCACTGGGCTATGTCCAGAACTCCTAGTTCAGCTACACCTCTGTCGTACTGTCGTATAATCGATTGGACGTATACCCTAACGTCACTTGAGGTGGGGCGACACAGACGCAGACTCGGGCACGGACGTGTACGTGCCCACAGGAGGAAGTAGTAGACAAATGGCGAGTGGACTGGGATGGTAGTTGTGGGTGTTGATCGGCACGGGCTGTGGTTGATATCAACCTTTTGCGCGTGGCTTGGGTCTCTGTCACACCAACATCAGTGCGTGTGCGTGTGCGTGTGCGTATGCACGCCAGGACGAGTTTGCCCATGGGCCACCCCCGTGACATGGCGCAGTGGTATGTATAGAGCGTGCGCCTAGATCGCATTGTTACGGTGGAGCTTTATGTGATGCTACGCTGTAGCTGTGTGTGTTAAACTCGTCTTAAAGTGGTATCCCTTTCTCACCGCCAATGCCTGCCACGCTACTACGGATGACCCGCTGATAGGGCTATCGTATCTGGGCGTGGTATGCACGAGGTCGCCTGCAGATGTGTGCTGAGTCACACCAACTCCACGTGGCTCTGCCACAGACAGGCTGCGATGTATTGGGGGGGGGCGAATGTTGATGCATGGTGTGGGGAAACGCCAGGGGGGGGGGGCGAATGTTGGTGCATGGTGTGGGGAAACGCCAACAAGCGCACTACAGCATTGCTATTGCTGGGGGTGAATATCGGTGACTGGGGTGAGGCTCGCACACACACTGCTCGCCTGCCGATTTATATGTGTGGGACGGAACCACGGAGAATGGGTAGACGTACGAAGCGCGTGCGTGTCTTTTGCACCAGAGGTTATGTGTAACTGCCTATCCCTGCTTGTAGTAGGAAGCAAAAAAAAAACTGCTGTTCAGGCACAGGGGCTAGACACCACGCCATACTATGGCATCGCGCTCGTGTGTTGCTGGTCTGTACCTCACTGTGCCGGTGGTTTCAAGTCGCCGATTTTAACAGGGGTTGTAGCTAGCCTCCTAGCAATTAAATCTACTTAACACCAATTGCTTATGCCGAATGCACGTTGCACCAAACGTTTATACTGTACTCTAAAACTCTTATCTTAACTAAGGCCGCGATTAGCCTTCTAGCTGTATATATATATATATATATATATATATATATATATATATATATATATATAGTAATAATATATATATATATA